CCCACAAAACATTTCACGTTCTGATGCTTTCGATGTCAATCTACTAGGAGAGTTTGATAGGAATTTTGAGTTACTGTTACATGTTTTAAGTCTTTGTCATTGCACCCTTATGAGTCTTTTGTGTTATAAGACTTTTATGGTCGAGGAAATATATAACTGTCCCATACATATGGACGCTTAGATGGCACAGTGGGATAGAGTGCCAGGCCTGAAACCAAGAAAACTCATCTATGTGAGTTCAAATCTGGCCTCATACACTTATTGTGTGATCCTGGGCAAGTCACTTAACCCTATTTGCCTCAGTTTCCTCATCTGTAAAATGAGCTGAAGGAAATGGCAAACCATTCCTGTACCTTTGCCCCCCCTCAAAAAAAAAAAACAAACCCAAATGGGGTCACGAAGAGTTGGACGAGACTGAAACAGTAGAACAAAATATATAATTTACTTTGTCCATTTCTAAAAAGAACTCTGGGGGCAGCTAGGTGGTGCAGTGGATAGAGGACCGGCCCTGAAGTCAGGAGGACCTGAGTTCAAATCTAGCCTCAGACCAAACATTTGACACTTACTAGCTGTGTGACCCTGGGCAAGTCATGTAACCCCAGCTGCCAAAAAAACAAAACAAAAATAAATAAGTAAATAAAGAGAACTCTGTTAATCCTTTTCAGAGAGATCCTAAACATAAAGCCATACTTTAGCTTTAAGGGATTTTACCCACAACTCTTGCGTGAAGAGGTAAAAAGTAGACAATAAGAGTCCGACTTCTCTTTTTAGAGACCAGGTTCCCCTCTCAGGGTTAAACCTGGTCAGGGCAGGGAACCCTTAGTGAGAGGTGTACCAACCCCTTGGGTTATAGACTATAGACTATTACGCAGCCAAGGAAAATGACTCCTGAACACGTTGTTTTTCCTGGTCACCAGCAGACCCAGAACTGGAGTTTATGTCACTGTTCAATATGCTCTTTTTTTAGTGCACTACACACACACACACACACACACACACACACACACACACACACACACACACTCAAGCAATAATTTGATTAGAAAAGTTGTGAGGAAATCTCTGATATAAGATTTTGTGCTGATCACGTCAATTTAATTAACAGTTTAAGTTTAATGAAAAATTTAATGTTGCAATACTACAAGAGCACCTACCCTCAGGTGGTTTGAACCCAAGACTGGTGGGTTATGTATGCCTTTTACAAGTTTCCAAATGAATTACTTCAATCATTTTCTATCTCCTTGCTGCAGACATGGTGGAAGATGGGAGGAGTTATGTTTCTCCCCAAATCTGTTTTTGGCAAATCTGACACCAAGAAAAGTCATGTGATGCTAAAGTTTTGCTTCACTAACCATTTGTGCATATGCCCTAATTGTTTAATCTGTTCTATAAGGCAACAGTGTAATGAGATATGACTTCCTTAAGGAGAATGCCAATTCAATGGTATTCAAATGGCTCTACAATTTCATCAATTCAAGTTTGTACAACTCCTGACCATCTCCTTCCCAAAGTTCACCTTAGGTGTCCATGGTGGAGCATGGTGGAGGCCTAACTCCCTTTCTCCTGAAATAACAAGAGTACCAGCAGAGCACGCTGGCTATCTATCCGTCATCCCTTGCTATCTCCACGAGACCAGCCCATCTTCTTTCTGGCTTATAATCTTTGATGACATCCTTTCTTCCTGTTTTTTGTTATTCCTCACTGATTGTAATGTCGCAGCCTGCTCACTTACACCCACCATGTGCCTTTCCATTGCCCTCGGAGGGACACTCTGTAGTTCTTCAGAGGCAGTGGTATCCTAGATTTCACTGCCACACTGCAACATCAACAAATTGAAAATATGGGCCTTTGCCATTTTGAGCAACTTGGGTGGGTAGGTGGGTGTCAGCAAAAGGGTTTTGCAATTTCCCCAAAGCAATCCAGCCGCTCTCCTTGCTTTCAATTCTGGGTCCAGCTCATTCTCCATCTGTATTATCTGTCCCAGATGCACATACTGATGGACAAGCTCTGTAGGATGATGAAACGTAGGCAATGGAAATTCTTCACCCACCTGGTCTTTCCTGTGTGGATGGACAGGTCAAACTCTAAACTTTGACGGATCACAGATCTTTTCCAGGAGGTTTGGGAATATCACAAACAGGAGTATCTGAAGGACCTCACCAACTGGGAATCTCCTCAACCTGGACTCTATATTGGAAGTGTTTTCTTTTTTTTAAAGGCAGTGTATTTTTAAATCATGTAGCTTGTTTATATTTGAATATTGGTAAATCAAAACCTTCCTTCTATTAGTAGCTGGTTTAGCTACCTGAATTCTAGCCAGTTAAAGCTAATTCATATTTCAGCAAATCTCTCAGCAAGTTATAGAAATATGCTTAGCTTGTGGCATTCTGTCCTGATGTAGGAACTGAGAAAATGCTCGTAGTCAAGTGAGCCAAAGGTTGGATTTGCATTGTGATAAGCATTCACATCTTTTTTAGGGGAACAGGAAATTTGTTCTATGGCACATGCTATCCCCATTGCATCAGCCTCAAACACACGGAATCCAGAGCAAGTGGGGGCTAGATCTGGGCTTCTTCAGTCAACCCACCACCTGTTTGAGCTGTAACCATCACCACGTTGTAACATCCAGTAGCTATAAGCAATAGTTTGTGTGGGTGGGAATGCTCTTCTAACATGCTACAAGGCAAGCCTCCCCAACCATCCTACCTAGGAGAGTTTGGGGCAGAGGGTGTCCTGATTTCTAGTGGTTGGGCACAGCTATTTGGTGGCAGCTGAGTTTTGAAAGCTGAGTCCTGAGTTGCAGCTGTTCCCTATAGGAAGGAGGTTGGGTCAGAGGACAAAGTTTTGTTTCCCGGTGCTATTTGAGAACATGCCCTTCTGCTTAACTTCTATTTTGAGGTTACAGTACCATAAGAGAAGTCTTCACTCAATATGCGCTTCCAGCTTTCTGGCATTTCATTAGTTAAGACAAAAGTTCAATCGGTCTTAAAATATGGTTAGGGAAAAATCACCATGGCAAAGCTTCATCTTTGCTGCTGGTGTTAATTAAGCCCCCATGATTTAAGCACTATTTTCTTGGAATGTTATCTAGTATACCCATTTAGTGATTCCCAAATTTCTTCCCTCTAAAGACTCATGTTTACTCCTCAAATACCCATTGTAGTAGTACTTCAGAGAAGAGGCAAAGTCATAACTGAATTTGCAAGTCCCCAAATTAACAATGAAGTGAGTAGATTGTCACCTACATTAGGGTCCAATAACCTTTATAATACTGAGACTGGAGAACCACAGGTGGTAGTGTGATAAAAAGCAGGAGTGAGAATGAATGATGATTGATAATGAGGGGTGTTGAAGTAAGGTGAGAATGGGTGAGAATTACTATTGCCAATATCTGGGAAGGAGGCTTAGCTAGGAGACACATTTAACTCCTATGCCTTGGATGCACTATTCTGGTTTGTTTTTCATAAAAGGAAATGACATGGTTTTTTCTATCTTTTGCCAACACCCTAGAGTAGAGAACAAAACGGGGTTATGCCCCCGAATCCTAAGGCACATTATCTACATTTCATATTTTGGCACTTAATCATATGCTGTCTTACATTCATATATTTTTAGATGTGGGCAACAAAGGAAGTTGTTTTTCTCTACTATGTATATTTGTTAGAAAGGTTTTTTCCCCTTTTAAATGCAGGAGGATGGGCAGGAAAGAAAAGAAATGCTTGTCAATTAAAAAAATAAAATAGAAAAAAAAATTGTTGTTTCATTGCCTTAAGCATATTAGTTTGGTCTCTCCCAAAAGACTGTATTCCCTGTAAGCCAGGCTTTGCAGCTTTTATATCATCTCATCATCCACAGCGCCTAGCCCAGCTCCTGAAAACCCTAGACACAGAAAGGAATTTTAAGACAGAACTATTTTCTGGTTTCGACAGAACAGGTGATAGGAAGTGGAGATAGGAGACTGATTCACTGAAGCATCTTCTAATGGGATTTCCTTCCTTTAGAAAAACACTGACGCTTGGACAGGGATGGGAGGACAGAAGTCAACTGTGTGCCTTTGGCTCGGCTACTTCTCCCTGGGACAGTGAGTGACCCACTAACTGAAAGAATGAATCGGTACCTTTTCAAAGTGCAGAATTTTATTTGATTCAGAATGAGCATGAGTGCATAACAAAGTCATCTGGTATTTCTGTTATTCTAAAGATCACGAACACAATCCAGGCAAATGTGTTGTTCCTAAAAATAAGGTTTCTGGCAGCAAGACTTAAGAGGCAGTACCGAATATCCTAGTCTACTACTAATAGGTCATCTCCATTAAGTTTTTAGTTTAGTCTGATCCACCCATACTAAAGTGGACTACTGAGGAAGACGCTACACAGTTCCAAATTTTGCTGGCCTTAGGGGGTTGGGTTAAACCAGGGTCCTCAAGTGTGGCCCTTTGACTGAATCCAAACTTCATAGAACAGTGGGGAACTTGAGGACCTAGAGGGCTTCAGGTTCCCCACCCCTAGTGTTAATCACCCCCACCATATTAAAGGCAAATAATACAAAGTACAAGTAGCTCATATACCTTGCTCAGACCTTTTTGCTACTTGGGAGCAATTTTTATGAAGGGCAAGTGGGGAAAAAAGGATGAAATAGCCAGAAAAGGAGCCAGAAACTCTTTACCTAGAGTTTCACAAGTAATGCCCTTAGGCATAGGGAGAGATGAAAGAAAGAGGAGAAGGAAAAGGAAAGAAGAGAAAGGAAAAGAAAGAAGTATAAAGACAAGAAGATTTAAATGGTAATGGCCATCAGCAATTGCCTTCACTGTCCATGGCCCTCAGAGTACTAATGCCCCCAGTTACTTCTACCCAGTCTAGGGGGAGAGACTTGGGATTTCAGTGCATGGTGTTCCTTATTACTTTGGCTCCCTTCATTAGCACAGGCAACCGAGTTGACCTTTAAGCACAACCTGGAGTTAGTCATTTTAGAAGATCACCAGCACTTAAGAATCTGACTAATTAATCTAGCATCTATCACTGTGATTACTTCAACCCAGCTGATTACTTTTAGCTCCTTGACATATAACACTTCCCCTCTTATGAAGGAGAAACCTAAGACTTTGGTTGCTGAAGAGGCTTTAGATGTATTTCCATTGTTTGTGTGCTCTTCATCTGGTAGGGCCAATGTGACCCTCCTTAAGCCACAGAAAAATTGAACCAAGTAGTGTGGTTATATTCTTCACCTGGACGGAGCAGTACACGAGGAAAATGTGGCTGTGTAAAGAAAAGAAACCAGTTAGACACCTCGACATCCAGGCCCTGGGGACTACAACAGTAATGATAATAATTTTTTGGATTAGACCTGTGATGTCACTGGAGTAGAAGAAATTCCCTATACCAATGCTGATCAGTAGCTGCTCGGCAACTTAATCATTTTATAAAGCATAAAATTTTATAAAATCAAATGACTTGCCCATGGTCACACAGCCAGGATATATAAGAAGCAGAACTTGAACCCTGGTCTTCCTGACTCCAAGGCCAGTTCTTTATCCGGGATGCCAGGCTGCAATGCCTTCTCAGTAATGATGACAATGATACTCATGAAGGGCGATGTGGTATGGTGGAGAGGGAGCAGGCTTCAGACTAAAGATGAACTGTGTTGGGGCAGCTAGGTGACACAGTGGATAGAGCACCAGCCCTGGAGTCAGGAGGACCTGAGTTCAAATCCAGCCTCAGACATCTGACACTTACTAGCTGTGTGACCCTGGGCAAGTCACTTAATCAAAACAAAAAACAACTGTGTCTAAATCCTGACACGTATTAGCCATGTGATGACAAGTCATTTAACTTCTCCAGTACCCCAGACAACTAAGTATAAACTGCAGAGAAGGTGGCAGTTTGTATTGGTAGGAATATCACAGGTTCAGACCTTCCCCTCCCCCAAACAGCAGCTGATACCTACACAGAACTTTGAGGTTTACAAATCACTTTATATACATCGTCCCATCTGATCCCCATAACCAGCCCCTGAGATAGGTGTATTATTGGCCCCAGTTTACGGAATTAGAGAGGTAGAGTGACTTTTCTATTAAGTATCAGAGGCTGGATGTGAACCAAGGTATTGCCAGGCTCCAAAGTCGGTGCTCTTTCTACTACAACATGCTTTTTCTCATTAACAGGCCACATGATTAAGAATGTCTTCTCTGATCTCTTTTTGAACAGCAAAAAATCTAATTGGAAAAGAGTAATGTTAGATAATCAAGAAGAAAAGAAACAATCACAAGTTATTTCTTAAATCACTTGGCCTCACAAAGTACTCAGCAGCTTAGCAAATATTAAACTCCTCCCAGACTTCTGGTGACAGAAACAGGGAGAACACATATAAAAGAGTGGAGTTTCTGAAACTCTGGTCCCATCAAATATAGAAATGCAATGGGAATGACAGGGCCAGGACTCTTCAATGTCCACTTTCCTCTCTCTGTCATTGCTTTGATCTTTCCTCTTCCATTCGGTGAAAAGATCATTAGAAGAAAATTCTCATAAGTTGTAATGACCATCAGGGACCCTTCTGCATTAATTTAATTTGGTTTTTATTCTAGCCTGTCCCATGGAAGGAGCAGGTTATATGTAACCAGGCTTGAATGCCAGCACTGGGAGGGGTTCTTTACCTGAGGTCTGTGAACTTAAAAATTTTTTTGGATAATTTGACTTCAATATAATTGGCTTCTTCTGTAATCCTATGGATTTTATATGAAGCAATTAAAAATGTTCTTCTGACAAGGGGTTCACAGGCTTTAAGCAGAGACCTTTCCACTCTTCTTTTTGTATCCCCAGCGTGCCTGGCACATAATAGGAACTTAAGTGTTCACTGATTGACTGACTAATTATCATCTCGTATGCGAAAGGCGAAGCTTCAGGAGCTTGCCAACCATCCCTTTCCAGTTTCATTAAAGGTCAGGTGATAAGAAGTGAGCCAAAATGGAAGGAGGAGAGATTTAGATCAGACATAAAAGAGAAACTTCCCAATCATATACTTCCCATATACTCCCAATACATATACTTGATTTCTGAGAAAATCTGTGGGATTTTCCTTCCAATTACACCACTCCAGTGGGGAAATGTGAGCAAAGTCCTACTTTCCTCACATGGGGACCCAGATCATGTCCCCTCACAGATTCTTTCCAGCCCTAGAAGGAGGGCTGTAGCCACTATAATAATAAATAATTGTGTGTGTAAATAAGGACTGAACCATGACCTTCAGCCCTGAAATTAAGGAATATGACAAGGCAGCATGGTTTAGTGGAGAGAGCACCAAATTTAAAGTCAGGAGGGAGAGACCCAGGTTTGAATGCCTCCTCTCACCCTTCCTAGCTGACCAAGGGCAAGGCACGTGACCTCAGTTTCCTTACCTGTAAAATGGGTTTAATAAAATCTATCAGAACAGTACCTGTCTTATCAGGTTGTTGTGATGATTAAAGGAGAAAATATATGTAAAGCGTCACCCAAACCTTAAGACCACAAAGAAAGGTCAGCTGTTACTAATAGGTGTTCAACATAACTAACAATAGGCTTGGGAGTTCCAGCAGCTAAACGGGGTGCCCAAAGCAGTTGCCTGCATTCCACCTCTTTGGAGCACACTGGGAGTCAACACCAAGACACTGAGACGAGTGACGGAGTGTCATGGGTGAGGCCAGTCTGGCTGGAGTGAAGGCGAGTAATGTGTGAAAAGGACGCAAAGAGATTTAGCTAGTCCCTAGTTTCAGCCTTCTCTTCTCTAGGCAAAATGATACCAATCCCCCCTACCATAATCATAACTGCACAGGGCTGTAATGACCAGAAAACCAATTTAATGTCTTGTACAAGGTCTCAGCAGTGACTAGTAAGGAGAAGAGTAGTAGAGGAGCCACCTGTAAATTTGACTTTACCTTGTTGACTGCATCTGGCCAGCTCTGGGTCTCAAGGCAAAAACCTGAGTGTTTGGGGTATACGGCACCCCCCTTTCCCTTCAGTGTTCCATCCAGGAAATTGGCCGTGTAAAACTGAACCCCAGGCTGGGTTGTGTATACTTCTAGCTTCCGTCCAGTGCGGGGATGATAGACTCTGGGGAGAAAAAAATTGAACGATAAATAATTCATATTTTAGAGAAGTAGAAGGGAGAGGAGAAAGGGTAAACTTACTGGGAAATATATGGGTCTAGAAGAGGCAAGAGGAGCAGGGGAGACAGACAAGGAATTGGGCAAAGACAAGAAGAGTTAATGGAGACATACAGGCAAGAGGAAGAAATATTAACAAGAAAAGTTTTCACCTAGTGGAAGATCCCCTTAATAAAAGGGTTTGTTCTATAAAACTTGGACTCAGTCAAAAGGCTGCACCCAAGGACCTAGAAGGCCACATGGCCTTGAGGTACAGTTTCCCCACCCCTGATTTAGCACCTCATCACACAGTAAACTTGTAGGAATGAGGTAGAGTTATGGCACTGGCCAGGTTGGAATCCCTTCTCAGAAGATTCAACGACTTGGAGAAACAATCTGTTAGAAAAGTAGCAATTTCTTTTCTGAGTTAAAAATGCTACCTTATCCTCTGTTAAGTGTTGGGATCCAGAGATCATAGAATTGATTGAGATCTAAATTCCAGATTTTAAATCTTGAGATCATAGATTTAAATTTAAAGGGATCTTAGGTTATCTAACCCAACCTCCTCATTTTATAATTCAGGAAACTGAGGCCCAGTAAAGGCAAGTGATTTGTTCAATACAAATCCTACATGATTTCCAAAGGGAGGGCTGGTTCTTTATTAGTCTCCTGTAACCTAATGCCTTGCTACTAGAATGGCTGGGAAACATTTCAGTGAAACAGGAGGTGGCAATCTTTCCCAGCCACAGAATGAATGAAAGATGTCTGACCTTGCACAAAAATGCTTCTCTTTCGTATCCTTCAGACAGAAGTTGTGGTCAAAACCATTAATGTGGAACTTCTCTATGTGCTTTCCCAGTTCCACCGGCTTCCTCAGGTCAAATGCAGTCCCCTGCACAGATTCCATTTTTCCTAGTGAGAGAAAGAAAGAAAAGAAAAAGAAAAAAAAGGGAAAAAATTCTATTAACACGTGCCAACATGACACACATACCTGTGTGTATATACACACATGTATATTTTATATGTATGTATGTATATGTGTGTGGGTGTGTGAATATACATGCATTCATAGAGAAAGAGAACACATTCTCTCCAAATACTTATATGTAACAGGAGGAAAGAGGAGAGGTTGGCTGGGTAGACACACATTCAGCCTTCTTTTCTCTGGGCAAAGTGACCCTAATCCCTTTAACTTAGATGTAGTCTAACTATGTAAGGCTTTACTGACCAGAAAAACAATTTAACATCTTGAACACGGTCTCAACAGCTACTTAAACTGCTCTTAGAAGGAGGCCATAAGACCAAATTCTGTAACACTGGTTCTAAATACTTGGATTTGGCTATTTATCTGTGACAAGACTAAAACATGGGAAGTGAGTTGATACCTCAAAGAGACAAGGAGAAACTAGGAATTTCTATCTGACAATATGGGGAAGAAAAGAATTGGCTGGTGTCCCATTTCATTTACTTCTGCTTTTTTGTGGGTTCCTAAATGATAAGACGAAAGGACACTCTCCCCCCTGCCCCCAAACCTACTACCTGAGACAAAGAGTCAGCCTCCCTTTTCTACAGTACAATCTGCTCTCCCTTTAGGAATTTTAGGAAGGCTGTGAAGTTAGTTTGGGAAGACTGGCATCTTCAAAGTCTGCAAGTAGTAACTGACTTCTTATTCTACCCAGGCTTCACTGTAATGATGACATAGTCATCTTGGTAAGATCACTGAGGAGACTGGGTGTTCCTTGTAGAGGCCAAGGGATATGTGTATGTTGGAGGGTGGGGATTACTCAACAGGACCTTTATTTCTCTCCCTGTCCCTAGGACTTCCATCTTCTGGACCTAGCCAATCTACCCATCCTACCCTACAGTCCTTGCCCTTATCAAAGTGATTCAACCCATCTATCCTATGTCCCATTTCTTCAAGACCCATACTTCCCACCACTCAAAAACAACAGACAACAAAGAAACTTTAAGAAAAAATTTAGCTGGGACCTGGGAGTGGGGGTAGTGGAGTCTTAGAGGGATTCCTGCGGATACTGAGAGGTCAAGTGAATTGCCCATAGTCATAGAACTAATATATCTAAGAGGCAGGACTTGAGCCCAGGTCTTCCCGACTCTGAGGCAAACCCCTGAGGCTGCCTCTCATTGTTCAATAAACTCATCAGTGTAAATATTATTAATGCATACTAATGTCTAAACCGTTACCTTTCCCAGAAAACAAACCTGCATTTTAAATCAGATTTCCTGGAGACACAATGTCCTACGATAATTATAATTTTATATCTGGACAGTACCTGAATCTTGTCCAACTTCTTCAGAAGAGAAGAAACAGGAGATACAGAGAAGGGAGTGATTTGCCCAAGGTAACAACGCTGACTCATGACAGAGTCAGGACTAGCACTCAGGGCTCTGGAATCTCAAGCAAAGCGCTCTTTCCACTACATATTCCCAAAGGGATGACTTTAATGGAGTCTGGGGGCAATAACTAGGTATAGGCATGTGTCTTTTTAGAGGCCCTTAAAACTACATAATGAAACTACTCTATTTATGTTGGAAAGAGACCAACCCTCTTACCTTCCTTTTAGTACCCATGGCTGTGACATTGACTCTTTTAAAGTCAGTTAAACTGGCAAAAATTATGAGATGGAATATGCCCAACGCTGATGCGATACACATTTTCTCTCCACTAAAAGCAGAAGTGAAACCCAACTCATGGCATTTCAAAGACACACACATATAGAGAAATGAAAATCAGACAAAACAAAGAAGCAAGATTCCAGAAGTTAAATTGGGACTGACTCTTCAGTCTGATTGCAAAAGGCTTTTGATTGCAGAAATCTAGTCTGTTAAAATAATGAATTCTTTCCCCCATGGGAACACATTCATCTGGTTTAGCCTGAATGTAGATTATAGCAGAAGTATTTTGGTGCTCCTGACTGAATTCATTCATGTAGACTGGAGCTGACCTCAGAACAATGGCTGGTAAACCCTATCTGCCAAGTGGGCTAGGGTTCTGGCCCCGTTCAAGCTGTTTTATGGAGCTCCATCCCCAGAGGACTTTCCACAGACCGGGCCAAAGTGGCCTTCATGGTGGTGAAGCCGAGGTGGGCTGCCTGCTTAGCTACCCCACACTGGCAGACTCACTGGTGCCAGGAAGAGAAGAAAAGGACTAGAAGAGATCTCTTTCTATATCCTAACTTAGGACCCTTGTCTGGTAGATTCACTTCCTTGCCAACTCCACACTATGCTATAGGTCAAGTCCCCTTCCCTCCTGTTCCTCCCTCTCTAGCTCCTAATAGAAAACAAGCTCCTTGAGGGTAGGGACTTTTACTCGCTTGCATTTATAGCCTTAGTATATAGTACAGTGTCTGGTACATGGTAAATCCTTAATATTCTTTCATTCTGTCTGTCTGTCTGTCTATCTATCTATCTTCTCTGAGTTTTTTGAGCAGCTTGGTTCCACCCATTTAGGATGAATAACCTAGGAAGATATAGCTATTGACCACTCAGAAATTACCTGGGGGTGTCTATGCATCAAGCTCTGCCTTTGCTTATGGCCAGAATGTGTCAGCTCCTCCAGCACTCTCCCCGTCCCACCCCAGAGAATTAAGTGGATGATGGGGTACAAGGTGACAACTAGGCCACCTTTACCACCTTGTCCCCGAGGCCAGAAGCCATTCATAGACTGCCCCGCCTGCCATCATGCACAAGGGGCAGCAAGGCCCTTTGATCACCACTCCAGCCTTGAACCTACCTTCCCCACAACTCCCCAACCCATCTCTGATCCTCAACACTGAACTGCAAGGGCTCTGAGTATGGTCAGTCTCCACTCTGGTGTCTTTACAGACCCAGAGCTGGCCCCAAGAGAACGAGCAGCCATGAGATCTCATCTTGCTTCAGTGGCAGTGGGGACAAGAGACAAGCAACAGGTCTAACCTCAGGTCTGAACTAGTGATCTAGGAGACCCATCTCTTAGCGGTAATGAGATCACCAAGGGAGAGAGTGTATATAGAGCAGGTAAGAGGCCTCGAGACAGAGTCTTGGGATTCATCCATACTAATGAAGAAGATGGAGCAGCAAAGAGATTGACAAGAAGGAGTCAGACAGGTAGAAAGAGGACCTGGAGAAAGAGTGTCCTGAGCCAGTGAAAGATAAAAGTATCCAAAAGCAGAGAGATCAAGGAGGATGAGGACGTAGAAAAGTCTTTTGGATTTAGCAGATGAAAAGGGCTGAACAATGAGTTGAGTGTTAAGAAGTGGAGGGACAGAGGAGAGATAAAATGAGCACATTTCAGAGATGTGATGATGCCAGAGGGCAAAGAGGGCAAGATCCACATAGAAAAACAGAACAGATCAGGTTGGCCGTGAAATTCTCCTCAACATTAGAAGCTTAAAGAGTACCTAGTTCTTGCTGAACAAGAGAAAGGAGAAGAAAGTAGAAGGGGAAAAGACGAAAGGTCCTGTCACACGAAGGCAGCTAGGAGGCCCAAATGGAGAGAATGTTGGACCTGGAGTCTGGAAAAGCTGAGTTGGAATCTTCTTGTTTCCAACACATACTGGCTGTGTGACTTTGGCCAAGTCCCTTATTAACATCTCTGGGTTTCAGTATATTAATGTGTGAAATGAGGATAACAATAGCAAGAGGTTGTAGAAGATCAAAGGAGATGGCATACTTAAAACACTCTGCAAACTAGAAAGCTATATAAATATATATAACATATAATATATATCATCTGCTATTATTACCCTAAAGTTTAGGCAGTGGTGGGATGGGGTGAATATACCCTATCACCCGACAGCTGTCTCTTTCCTGCCCACCCCTCGCCAGTAAGGTTTTTTTTTTTAATTTATTTTTCCTCACTCACCAAGGATCAGGAGAATGAATTTGCAGTTCTGCTAACTTTGGTGGTCTGCAAAAAAATGTGCCTCTGATGCTAAGAACAGAACTAGGTGCGAAAGCACTTCTCTTAGAAAGCTTCAGAATACAGGAAACTCAATCGGAGACAGAATGGTGCTCTCCAACTGTTGACTCATTGGGTTTTGTTCTTTCACACACACCAGAAAGGCCTGGGTTCTCAGAGAGATAACTGCTTTCTGAAGATGATTTCCTGCCTTCTCGGTACTTTTCATCAGGCATTTTGGTCTGAGTATTGAGACGCTAACTGATTAGAATTCATCCTAAAGAAACAGGGCGGCAGTTCCAGTACAAAGAAGTTGCCTATGGTGCGATCCCTGTTCCTCAATTTCTGGAATTTCTCTCAGGAAAAAAAACAAAACAAAACCCAGGAAGTTTTAGCTCTGGCTTTCTGAGCAAAACTTCCGGACAGTGCATGTATCTCTTGCTGTCAGATAGTTATGTTCAGATTTTTAAAAGGGCAGATGCAAGAAGAGTCCAGAAGTCTGACACGGAATTGGAATGGAACAATAAAAATAGTAACATCAATGCTCTAAAGACAAGAAAGGACTGCGGCTTATGAAAAACACTATAGGCAATAAAAAGAGGCTTTTTAAAAAGTTATGTTTAGAATAAGAATAACTGGCATATAAAGATGGCATGGCATGGTAATAAAGACCTGGCCTTGGAATTAGGAAGACTTGTGTTCAGATCCTGCTGCTGACACATACTATTGGTTATATGGCACTGGGCAAACCATTTAACTTTTCAGGGCCCCGGGCAACTTTGTATAACTATGGTGCCTGCCCATATTGGTAAGAATTCCAATGATAGTAAGGATTTGAACCAGAAAAGAAAAAAAAATATTTTGATAGTTTTACGTTGCAAAGTACTTTACATATATTATCTCACTTGAATCTCATTACAACCCCATAAGGAAGGCATTACTACCTTCCTTTTACATCTGGGGAAACTGAGGCTCAGGAAAATCAAATAATTTGCCATGGACACAGAATTAATGA